ACCTGAGATTGTCTACCTAATAGTACTGTAGTAAGATTAATACAGTAATAATTAATACGACGAAAAGAGGTTCTAATTTTTTATTTAACAGATAATCTGGGTCACCCGGATAGCAATAATCACGGATCTTACGTGGTGGGTTACCCAGATGATCCCTATACAAATACAATCTCTAGTCTCTGCAATTGTTTTATTTGTTTGTTTACTTAGCAATTCTGATTTATATATATAGAAATTAACATTTGCGATTTTGTTCTAATCATTACCATATGAGTTATTAATATATATATATAAAGTAAACTCTACAAATCTCTATAAATTTAATTTTAATATAGACGTAATAGTGACGTCAATATATATATCCCCTTACTGTCAGTTACTTGATATTCTAATGTTTGCAAGTTTATAGAAAATTTAATCGGGTCATTCAAAGTTTAAATATCATACAGTAAAGATTATAATAGATTAACAGTTATGAAAATTATTAATTTACTAAATTAATTAAACCCTGTTTTTAAAGATTGGCTTAATAATCAAGATTTTTGAGATACAGTATATAGATATATATATACTCACGTACATATAGTGTACAAATAGAGATTGCCTTAAACTTTTTGAGTTATTCATGAACTCGTTATAGTCACATAAACTCCTGATTGGACGATGTGACTATTGCAACTACTGCGGGAGCTATTCTTTAGCAAAATCCATAATAGGAGAGATCGACATTATCCATGTCTGATTGATCTATAATTTTTCTAATTTTTTAATCTTTGTAATTATTTCCCGAATAAATGAAGACCAATTTTAAGGTACCATCATTCTGATTTAAGTTATATTGTTTAAGATACGATCGAATCATTTAGATATTCATTAGTATATTCTAAAAATTTCTTGTATAATATAAAATTATTTAATTCATCTCACTACAGTTCTCAAATTTATGCGGAACTGTATACACTCGAGGAAACTTGTGTTTTACCCCCGATGGAAATTCATTGCTAAGTCCTGTGGGAAATCGGTTGTCTTTATTTGATCTTGTAAAGTGAGCATATCTTTTAAATTCTATAAGTTTAGATGTGTAGCTTTTTTACAATTTTTTAATGACGCAAGATTTTTTGATTTTATTAATCTTATTGCAGTAACAAATCAATTACATTTCCATTTGAAAATCAAAAAAATATTTCGCGAATTGCACTTTCGCCAAATGCCAACATTCTACTTTCCGTAGATGAAGGTGCGTTTGATTTGAAAATTAATGTAAAATGATAATTGCAATTCATCAACTGTTGAATTATTCTTATTTTCTTCAGATGGAAGAGTTCTTCTAGTCAACTTTCAACGCAGAATTGTTTTACACGAATTCAATTTCAAATCACCTGTTACAGATGTACAGTTTAGCCCAGATGGAAAGTAAGCATAGTTGGGCATGATTATAGAAAATTATTTAATTACTTAATTAGTGTCTTTCGGGCTCAAGTACTTTCTCAAGTCCGAAATATTTCGCCAATAAGAAATAATTTCGCTAATTGCAATTTTATTTCGTCAGCGTGAAATATTTTCACCAGGACGAAATATTTCAGATTAGCCCGGAACATTAGTAGCTCCCAGTAATTGCAGAATTGTTACAATGAAAGTTTACAATCTTGATATTTTTAAACAATCTTTTATAATACCAACTTAAAATTTAAGTATTTTTATAGTGTGACAAAAATTTAATTCATTAGAATATTTGTTGAAAAATTAAGTTTTAAAGTTTTAATACTTAATTTTTTTAAAATTTTTCAAAAGTTGAATATTAAATTTAATTTTTCAACATTTAAAGTTTTATCACTAATTTTTATTTAATGTTTAGAAAATCTTTACTATTTTTAGTTATTATCAGTTTTTACATTTACTTACTTATATAAATATATATATAAATCTATTTTGAATTTCAAATAGTTGAACTTCATTGTAACAAGTTAGGAGAAAGTACTTTTTACCAACCTGTATAACTTGTATAATTAATTTACTTTAACAAAATATGGTATATAAAGATTTTTTGGTGTCGCATTGGGAAAAAATATTCAAGTGTGGAAATCTCCAGGACTAAGTCGAGAGTTTGCACCATTTGTTATGCATCATAAATATACAGGACACTATGATGAGGTCACATCAATAACATGGTCTACCGATTCTCGGTAACTAAATTCTCATTTTCAATATATTATTACTTCAAAGTTTGCTTGAATTTGTTATATGCTAATTAATTGTTATCAAATTTTATAAGATTTTTTCTTTCTACTTCAAAAGACATGACTGCAAAACTTCATTCTTTATTTCCTATTGAGGATTTCGCGACTGTAACGTTATCAGGTCATAAGAACTATGTCATTGGCGCTTATTTTTCAAAAGATCAAAATATGGTAGATAAATAAATATAACAGACCTCTTTAAATGCTTCTTGTAGAAATTTTAACAGCATACATTTAGAGAACAATATAGATGATGCATTTAGAAGATGCATTTAGAGAGGCTTTTTCTATATAATTATTGATACTCAAATTGGCTGATACTGAAATTTGTTCTGCTTAATATAAAATATATAAAATCTTTTCTGAATGGTATCTTTTAGGTTAGACTTATTAATTAAAGATTTTGTTAGGTTTATATAATATTTACAAATAGAAACCTCAAATATCAGCATCAGCTACCACAGTAATTTGTATATTGATGATTTTGTTTTATTAAATTTCTGTATATAGATATATACTGTTAGTAAAGATGGTGCACTTTTTATTTGGAAATTCACTTCTCCTCAAACTCTAACGGAAGACGACGAACAACATGAAGAAATGGATATTGATGACGTTGAGCCGGAATTATCAAAATCGAAAAGATGGACTATCTCATCTCGACATTATTTTAATCAATCTGGAGCTAAAGTTATTTGCTCAGCTTATCATGCATCATCAAATTTATTGGTAGTTGGATTTTCGTCTGGAATTTTTGGAATTTGGGAAATGCCCGAATTCAATAATATACATACATTGAGGTAAAATTAGTCAATAATATATTCCATTATCCTTTATTGATACAAAAGTTATCAGTATATTAATATTTTTATTATTGATATTTCTTCAAGTATTTCTCAAAAAGCAATAGATTCAGTAACAATTAATTCAACTGGTGAATGGTTGGCATTTGGTTCTTCAAAATTGGGTCAACTTTTGGTTTGGGAGTGGCAATCCGAATCATATGTTCTTAAGCAACAAGGGCATTATTATGATATGAATACATTGTCATATTCTTCAGATGGTCAAAATATTGCAACCGGAGGTGATGATGGTAAAGTCAAAGTATGGAATACTATGTCAGGTTTTTGTTTTGTAACATTTTCCGAGCATACATCTGGTGTTAGTGTAGTAGAATTTTCAAAAAATGGTCATGTCTTATTTTCAGCTTCTTTGGATGGAACTGTTCGTGCTTTTGATTTAATTCGTTACAGAAATTTTAGAACATTTACGTCTCCATCACCAGTTCAATTTACTTCATTAGCTGTTGATCCAAGTGGTGAAATTGTTTGTGCTGGATCAATGGATACTTTTGAAATTTTTGTATGGTCAGTACAAACTGGTAAATTATTAGATATTATGGCAGGACACGAAGGTCCTATAAGTGGATTGACTTTTAGTCCTACAGGTTTATTGGTGGCATCTAGTTCTTGGGATTCTACAGTTCGTGTTTGGAATGTATTTGAACGTAGTAAACATGTTGAAGTGTTTCGACACACATCAGATGTTTTAACTGTAGTGTTTCGACCTGATGGAAAACAGTTAGCTTCATCTACTTTGGATGGACAAATTACCTTTTGGAATGTTGAAAATGGTGATCAAGTAGGAACTGTAGAAGGAAGAAAAGATATATCTGGTGGAAGAAAAGCTAATGATCGAACAACAGCCGCTAATTCTTCTTCTGGAAAATCTTTTAATAGTATATGTTACACGGCTGATGGGTCATGTGTGATTTCTGGTGGAAATAGTAAATACATTTGCCTTTATGATGTTAAAGAGAAATTATTAATAAAAAAATATCAGATATCACACAACTTATCATTAGATGGAATACAAGAATTCTTGAATAGTAAATATATGACTGAAGCGGGACCTCTTGATTTGATAGATCAATCTGGAGATCTCAGTGATTTAGAAGATAGACTTGATACTAGTTTACCTGGAACTCAGAAAGGAGACCTTTCTGTACGAAAGACTCGACCAGAAATTCGTACAAAATGTGTAAAATTTTCACCCACAGGTAGATCCTGGGCTGCTGCATCAACTGAAGGTTTACTTATTTATTCATTAGATGAATTATTACTTTTCGATCCTTTTGATTTGGAGATGGATATTACACCAAGTTCTATTCTGAAAACATTGAATTCTAAAGATTATTTAAAAGCTCTTGTCATGTCTTTTAGACTTAATGAACGCTATATAATACGCCAAGTTTATGAAACTATTCCGCCTGATGATATTGAATTGGTTGTTAAAGATCTACCTGAAAAATACATTGACAAATTTTTTAAATTTATTGCTGTTAATATAGAAGAATCACCACATCTTGAATTTCATTTACTATGGATTATCAAATTATTAACTACCCATGGTAAATACTTGAAACAACGTTCAAATGAGTTTTCTACTATACTACGATTATTACAAAAGGGAGTTGGCAAAGTACAAGAAGATATAGCAAAATTGTAAGTCTTTATTTATTTATAATTTTCATTGACATTTTTACATAGCTAATATTTAACATTTAATACAGATGTGATGAAAATACATATACAATGGAATACATTTTAAGCACATATAAAAATAAAGAATGATGCAAAATATTTTTCATTAATAAAAAAAAAATTATTTAAACCGTAGAATTCAGATTAAGATATTATAATTACCTTTGAATTTCAAAATTGAATTATATAATTCTTTATATATATTTGGATTTTCACTATTTTACTGTGTAAATTGAATTTCTAGCTCAACCGATTTATTAGATATCGGATCTTTTGCTGAAATAATACATTTTTTATTAATATCTATTTCTATAGTAATGTCAACTTTGAGTTCATTCATCTTTTTTTCAGGTAAATCAGTTAACACCAGCTCAGCTAACATTTTTGCAGGAGAAATAAGATGTCTTTCTTGTAAAGAAGTATCTAAATTTGAATCAATATCCAAATTATCATCAGTTGGTGGAGAAGGCTTAGAAACTATAATGTCACCTTCCCATATTGGAACATAAAATTTTTTTTGATCATCAATCATATTTGAGAATTGAAAAATACGGCGAGCAGGAAGAGGAGTGTTTGCTGGTATCATGACCACAAATTCATTCTCAGCATTGAGTACGCCTATAGGTTTCGATAGATGAGGAACAAGGGTGACCGAGGTGTCAATGCTATCAGCAATCATTTGATCATCCAACGCACAAATTAAATCGCCTTGAAATGCACAACCATAGGCCACAACTTCATCAGGTTCAAAATCTTGACGAATAACAGTAATCGTATTCTTAAAGGTATCACGAAGTTTTGATTGAAGTTTTGGAATTCGAGAAGCACCACCTACTAAGATTGCCTGAAATCAATAATGTCAATATAATATTAATAATAAAATAAAATAAAAGTATTAAAAAATTCATGATAAACATTATTTTCTTATTTACCTCATCAATTAATTGAGTATCTAAATTATTTTCTTTTAAAGCATTAGAAATAACATCTAAAATCTTTGTAAAAAGTTTATTTGACATGATTTCAAATCTAGTTCTATTAATTGATCCATGGAAATCTATACCATCAGCTAATGATTCTACCGAACATGGAGAAGTTGAACTACTTGATAAAGTCTTTTTTGTAATTTCTACAGCATTTCTCAATTTAACCAAGGCACGTTTATTTTGTGAAATGTCAATCTGTGTCTTACGTTTGAATTCATTTACGAAATGATTCACAAGAAGGTCATCGAAAGCGGCACCGCCAAGATCAGGATCATGGGTGGTAACTAATATAGTAAACATGCCTGAACGGATGGACATCACCGTAACATCAAGACTATCAGAACCCAAATCAAGTATTAAAGCGGTTCTATCATTATGTAAGTTGTTATTATATTCTTCAGGTTTCATGCTTGACTCGTAAGCCAATATAGCAGCTGTAGGTTCATTAATCAGTTGTAAAACACGTAATCCAGCTTTTTCAGTTGCATCTTTCAGGGCCAAACGTTGAGAATCAGTAAAGTAAGTAGGAATTGCAAGAACAACACCAGCGACTGGTTGACCCAAAAAATTTTCAGCACTTTCACGAAGACTTGTGATATATTTTGTAGTGATTTCTTGAACAGTAAAAATTGATTCCTTATTCATAAATTCTACAGAATATGCAGCTACACCATCCTTGTCAACTAATTGAGCAGTTCCCTTTATTGCAGAAGAATTACATTCGGTAAAGCTATTAAAAAATCCAATAACTTATTATTTCTTATTATTTCTTATTATTTAGACAATTACATTATTATTTATTATTTAAGAAATTTCGTAAATCACCTTTTTCCGATAAAATTACGAAATTGAGAAATGGTATTTTTAGAATTACTTAGCAATTGAGCTTTTGCTTGAGTTCCTGCAAGCTATATTCGAAATTCGAAATGCTAAGGTAAAAAAAGCAATAACCTTAACAATCGATCATTTGGTAAATCAACAAGAGTTTTACCTCTTCTTCACCTGCAAATGCAACCAGAGTTGGTATTTGCCGCTCACCGTCTTCGTTAGCTATACAATCCGCTCTTCCATCCTTTATTAATGAAAAAGAAATTAATACTGTAAAGAAATTTTTGAATGATATTATGGATATTATGAATATTATGAGCAGAATTAATACCTTATTAATTATAGCAATACTAGAGTAACTTTGACCTATTCTAAGTCCAATAATGGATTTCTTTGACTCGGTAGCCGATGGCATTTTTTTTTTTTCACGGAAAAAAAATTAAGGATTTCACAAGGATTTTGATTATCACATGTGATCAAACAAGTAATGGCGTTTGGGCAGAATTATAGGGGGTGGCCAACTTTATAAATCACAGTCTGTGCGGCGAGAAAAACCTGAAATAACTAAAGTTGGCGGGAAAATAATGCTACGCTACAGATGTTTTATTTATCAGACCCATGACTAATAAATTTGTATGAAATCGATTTAATGTAGTGTTTTGTAGTGTTTTCAGCCATCATTGCCGCAAAGTAATGTTTATTGCATTTAACATATGCCGGTTCAAAAGAAAAAAAAAAAAAATACAGTAAACCGGTCCAATTTATGTGTAATAAGTAAAATAAGTAGGACGAAAAAATTGAAATCAAATCAGCATTCATGTTTACGCTACACAAAAAAATTTTTTTTAATTCAAAATATTTTTGAAACATAAATTCTATCGCTCAATTACCAAGTAAGAAAGTTAATGAAGAAATTTCGTTCGTTAAACTTATGTTGTACGATGCAAAGCGAGCAACTTTAACAAACGTTCATCTTACAAGAAACTAGTTTAACGGACGAGACAGATTGCCGGGGAAAAATCTTAATGAGGCAAATTAATAACCCTATGACGTAAAGATTAAGTCATATCACTGGTCAATATTTTCCGCATGGTCAAAATATAAATACATCATGGTATATCTCAATTTGTGATTTATACTACTGTATTGGCTGTATTTACTGTATTGAACTAGTATTGTGTAATATCGATATTGTATTTTATTGTATAAATTGAAATAAAATATACATATATTAATATATATATTAATATATATTATAATATATATAAATATATTTTAATTATAATTCAAAGGCTGCGCCAACGAGCCAATGTGGTCATATCTGATATTCCCAAATTTACTGTAACTATATATTGTTCTTGTTGATTCAATACCCATATCGATATTTCACATTTTCACTTATGGTAATTTGAAGTTTTCGGCTTATGTAGTGCTTATGTACTGTTAAGTTTTTTCAATTCGGGGTACCAATATGTATTTCTTTTTAATAATGGGTGACCTTTTTTATGTAGGAGGAAAAGCTCTCACACGTTCAACTTATATCGATATCGTCCTCCAGTACTTCTAATTTCTGATTATTAGAGAAACTCGGTTACTTTATTACAAACAAAGGTTAAACTTTTATATATTTTTTTTCCTTTTTTTTCAACCATAAACCTGGTTTAAAAAAAGTTTCACCGGTTTTTTTTTTTAAATAGGTAACATTTACTATTCTTAATCGCACCGCGTATTCTGAATTTTATTGTAACCTCCTATATTAATTTTTAAAAAATTTAAATCTCTCTTTCTTACTATTCTTATTTTATCTTTATTTTATTTTGTGCTTATATTTTGGGGGGAAACACTAGCTAGAAAAGATCCCGCTCATATTACTATCTCAACTTTATATACAAACGGTATGTGGTTATTTCATTACCACAAAGTTTTTAAATGAAGTGTAATTCGGAAATCAACTTGAGGTCACTTCTTGAGTGATCTATTTTATTTTACAATTCTTATCTGACATTTGATAGTTTGATTTTCAAAAGAATAGAAATAAAAACGATCTTCTATCGACTATATAATATCACGTATATATAAATTTATAAATTTCTTTTCTTTCAACCTTAAAAAAGGTATTTACAAGTTTTATATAAGTCATTTTCTTATTCATCCATATTCATAATTATTAATTAACCATTGTAATAATATCGATATTATCGATATTATCATAATAATTTTTATATCAGTTTTAGAAACATCATTTTTGTTTTTTTTTTTTAAATTAATATCGAAAAACAATGTATTCCCCGGAATCGGGCGGCGATGGTGAGTTATACCAAATCGTAAGGTTTGGAAAGATCTTTTAATAAAAAATATCTCATTTTATTATTTATTAAAAAAAAAAAAAATTTTTTTTAAAAATTAGATTCTGATGCATCTACTACATTCCCTACTAAATCTCCTGAATCACAAAATAATGAATCTATTACATCCGCACCTTCACCTAAAAATCAATCCGAAAATAATTACCAAAAAACAGATATTCCTCCTCCTACCATTGAACAAACTCCTACACGATTTTTGGCCTCATGCTCAAAACTTGACTTGGAACCTAATCCTTTCGAACAAAGTTTTTCGGGTGTCGCTCCTGTTCCAAGCGATGTAGGGACTAATAGTCCAAAACCGAGTCTACCACCTGTATCACAAATTGCAAGTCCTGGTATTCCGGGGGCAAGTGATGATCAATACGGTTGGAGCTTACAATCCTTAAGAAGTGGCGCTTTATCTCCTTCTATGCTTACCGGTCCTCAGGATGCTACCTTAATGAATGAATTTTCTCAACCTGGTCGTACCGGAACTACTCCTCTTCCTTTCGGCTCTTTCTCTGATCCTTTCAGTAATCCTGCTAATAATTTCGTTAATCAACCTCTTCCCGTTCTTTCTACTGATCCTTACGGTCGTGGCAATTTTAATCGTCCTCTCTCTGATTCTGATCGTAAATCAATCCCTTCAAATCCTACTACTTCGGCTCCTCCTGTTACTAACGTCTCAACTTCTCAATCTGGTGTTATACAACCCGGTTTACCTACAACAAATATTTTAAATATGACAAATGGCTCTTCAACTTCTTCTGCTCCAAATGTTATTGTTCAAAATCCTTTAAATCAATCTGTTCTCGTTACAAATCCTACCCTTAACAATAGAAATATGGTTTGCGCTCCTCAACAAGATTTGATAAGTAGAAATCCAATTATTCCAGATACTATCTTGCCAAAAACTGAGAACGATGATTTTCCTTCACATTCAAATAATATCATTACAAATTTACCTAATGGAAGACATACTAATCCTATAAATACAAATATACCTACTCGTAAATCTTCAATCATGTCCGATTCTATGGATGAGGATTCCCCTATTAAAATGGGAAGTTCAAGCTCTATGAAATCTAGTCCTCGTAGTTCAAGGCGAAAAGCTGAAGAAGCTCTCGTAAAGGAACAACCTCCTTCAAAGAAAAACGGGCAAAAAGTTAAAAATGAAATGACTGATGAAGAAAAACGGAGAAACTTTTTGGAAAGAAACCGTCAAGGTATTAATTTTAATATATATATATATATTCATTAATGTATATTAATGTATATTAATATATATTTTATCATTTTATTTGTTTATTTTAAAATTTTCTAATTTTTATCTTAATTTATAGCTGCTCTTAAATGTCGTCAGCGTAAAAAGCAATGGTTGGCCAATTTACAGGCCAAAGTAGAATATCTTACCAACGATAACGAAAATTTACAAAATCAAGCTCAATCTTTACGCGAAGAGATTATCAATTTAAAAACTTTATTACTTGCTCACAAAGATTGTCCTATTGCGCAAGCTAATGGTGTTATGGGTTTAGATTCGATACCACCTTCTTCTCAAGGAATTCCAAGTATGAATGGTATGAGTATCGGTCCGATGGGAATGGTGCCAGGAGGTATTCCTAATTCGGCCATGGCGGGTGTTCCTGTTAACGGTATGCAAGGATCAATGCCAATATCAAATGTACAGGTACCTCCACACATGACAAACCATGTTAATGGTCCACCTGGTTCTGGATTGATGAGATATTAAA